CTCAGCAGTCTGTCTTACTGCAATATTCTGTTGTGTACCATCTGAACATTTTTAATATTTTAATTTTTCCATCTATTAATATTCCAGCATTCTGGGAAGCATGAATCTTTTTAAAGGTAGCAGTTGTTTTTTATATTTTTAATGGTGAATCTTTTCCCTTGCAAACTGAATTTATCAATGGGGAGGACTATGTTTTTTACAGTATTATCTTTAGAGTTTTTTATAGCTGCAAACAGAACAAAAACCACATAACCCACCAATAAATGAAATTAATCCTTTGAATATGAACCTGCCTTGAGTTAAATGGCACTGCTTGCTTTTAAGTTCACATTGATGTGAAGAATCTGGAAGAACGGTAATTTGTCATCCTAAGGATGTGAAATGTGAAAGAAAATTTTTGAAAGAACACAAAAGACAATGAAAGCAGTTCAAGGAATATTAGTGTTTCAGAAGGTTTTCCCTCCAGAATAGATTAAAAGACATTCGAAATGATGAGCACTTAGAAAATTACTGTCAGGTTTAATAAAACTTAGAAATGACAATTTTTCAGGTAATTGCCTATTCACAGGGGAAATCTTTTTGCAACAGTGGTCCCCAGTTGTCATTTTATGCATACCTTTTCAAACAAATCAAGGTTTTGTCAGCCTTTTTATTCTCTCGGTGCAACTATTAAGATAGAGTACTCAGAATCTTTCTATTTCAAGATTATTAGTGCATAGAATTTCTATGAAAACCTGAAACTACAGCTTGCAATTTGTCAGACCATTATAGGAAATGGGGATCACACTATCATACTATAAATGATCTTTGAAAATCTTTCTTGAATAGTAATAATTCCTTGGAATAACAAAGTGTTTTTCATCCAAACAGCAATATCATAAGTGTCCAACTATGTAACTATGTAATAGTGTAAAACTGGCAACAGGTTACAAAACATTGCGTGACAAAATGAAAAAGTAATATCAGAACCGAGAAGAAAAGATCATTCCTCAAATTGCTGTATTTTATGTAGATATCCGTGCCACTAACTCAAAACACCAGAACATCAGACTAGAGACTCGAGATGAAATCACCACTACCATACTATAACCAAAAATACATTGGATTCAATAATTTGCCAATTCACCAAGCAGTTTTGCTGATGAATTCCATTCACAGTGTATTGTCCTTGAATTATATGACCTATCAAAACAGAACCTTCATGAACGAGTGTATTGTGTGTGCATTATTCATTACCCCCGTCTGGTTCCCTGACTCTCAACAGCCCCCAGGATTATACAGTAACAGAAGTGTGCTGACTGATTGGCAACAAGGAAATATGCTTTAATACAGCAGGACTGCTGACTCAGACTGTGCAAATTTTTAAGGAATGTATTTTAAAACTCCCAATCCAGATATCCTGGGAGCTTCACAGAGGAGCAGAAGGGTTGTCTTTTAGAGGTTTAAAGACTCACTGTGGAAACACACATACTGTACCCTGAAGACCGAAAAATATATTTGTAAAAAAATGCCTATTTCACCCCAGAGACTTGGCAGACACAGCAGAAATTGAGTCATACGTGTACTGTTATGGTGCTACAAAAAATACATGAAAATAAATACATTTTTAAAAGTATGGGGAAATGTTAATTAATAATAAAAAGCAAAGACTAGCTGAGCCCATTACGCTTCTGGCCTGTTGGGAAATCAATTCTTGTCACACAATGCTGTTTTTCTCTTTCACTGCCAAACCTGTGTACTCGGTTAGTTATTTCTTATTTCTACAGCACAACCCATTATTGTAGTACAGTTTCCAATATGCTTCTATCACTGGATTGAACTTTCATTGAAAGTTCAAACAGTGAAATTCAGATTGTTAGATAAATTACGGCGACACGAGGTGCTTGTAATTGTGCGGAGTTACTGCAGTGCAGCTATTTTTAGGCTGCGTTCATGCTTATTGATTGAATGGAAACGTGTGCAGAACCAGTAGCCAACTGTTTTGTTGAGATAATACCACAGTCCGGTGGTTTTTGTGCTCAGGCAGGCAGGATCAATGTCTTTAAAAACATGAGTCTGTATCTGACTTCTTTATTGGTTTCACAATTGCGAAAATTGCGAACAGTGTTTAGTCACACTGTGGTAAATTTGAGTTACAGAATAAGAGCAAGCATGAGATTGTTTGTGGGATTGTGATTGTGATTGTGAGATTGTCACTAGGTGACCCTAGTGATGAAATAGTCTACGAACCCTGTCACACCTATTGTATTTTTCCCTTAAGCGCTCATTTAAGTCATGAATTCGTTTTTTTTTTTTACATTTTATTTTGGCAGGTTTCTCCAAACTATCCCCAAACTGGATCCTCCACCTCAATCTATCAACAGGAAGCGCCCAATCAGAACTCTCTCTGTGGGACAGGAAGCAGATATGAAGTTGACAAACCCACCTGTTGAGGCCAACAACAGCTCGGATGCCCACCATGACACCACGGCCTTCACCGACGTCACACCCTGCACCTTCGCCTCTTGCGACTTTGAGCCTCTCCAAGCCGAGGGCAAATCGCGGTCGGCGAGTGAGGACTCTGGAGTCCGGTCAGAGGACAAATCTGTTTTGACACCTCTACAGGAGGACCTGTTTGAGGACAACGGGGCATTCTTTTCCACCTCCAGCAGCTGTAGCAGTAACCTGGGAGATAAAGCAGCTTCCTTCAGCAGCCCCGACAAAACAAGCCCTGTGAGGGACTCCAAATGTCTTGACAGCAGCTATAGCAACACGCTGCCATTTTCTTCCCTCTCCAACGACACATGTCTCCACATAAGCTTCTCAGAGGATGAACTGCTAGACAATGACAATGATGATTCAGGTGTTCCTCTACACAGCTAAGGGAACGTAAGGGATTTTTAAGTTATAGGAAATGGACTGCAGAGGCACAGGCTGTGTAGCCCTCACAGACATGGGCCTTTCTCGCAACAGAGATAAAACCAACATTTTTGGGACTCACACTGCGTCGAACGTCTTTATAAAGCAGCCCTTTTTTAAACTCTTTCCCCGATGAACATCACAGAGTGACAGCAAACCTACCGCGTACCGTGTATTGTTTGCTTTTTTTGTCTTTGTTCAAATTAATTCTTCGACCTTGTGAAAATATAGTGCCATATTCACTAAGCTACAGTTTTTCAGCACCTACAGTACACTTTGCAGCATCCCACATTTTTGAGAAAATACTCCTCATCTTTTAGTCGAGTATTTCCTCAACCTGTTTGGCTAAATTTCCACAAATGTACGCGTACTCAGTGAGGAGGAAACAGTAATACTTGGAATAATTTGCTATTTTATGAATATCAGCCTTTACAATGGAAACTCTTTCTGTTGGTAACCCCTTAAAGAGGTAGTTTTACTATTTGAATAACATTGGCATATATGACATTTTATACCTAGCTGTTACTAATGACTAGAGTAGATGTCACGGTATCCAGTGATTTCAGTAACATTCTACTGTTTATAGTGTCTCGAGTGAGACCATTCATTTTTCTGCAGCTTCGCTGACAAGCTCAAATGAGCACAAACCTTTTAGTTGAAGTAGAAGTCGATGTCTTAATTTATTGCATTTTTAAAAGTGAAGAATCGGAGAATGCAAGCTTTGATTTTTTTTCATCCCCAAAACAACAAGAGAAGGAATGTTCCAATGTTGAAGGAAAGCCACGTTTATTGGGTCGCCCAGTGAAGAGAGTGAAGAGAGAGTGCTGTGAATGGAATTATCTATGAAGGAATAATGGAAGCTTTAATGGAACTTTGGCTCATGAAGGTGAACATTTGCTATATTTCTTGACTTTACCTACCCAAGCATTTGCCATTCAGTCGACAAAGCAAAAATATATATTAAAAATGTAACTTAATGTTGCCCCCTTATGTTAGACCTCTTTTCTGAGACTCATCGTAGAAGACTAAGACTGATGTTAAATGTACCCTGAATAAAAGCCACTTGAGGTCAAGGTTTTCTAAATTCTTCAAAGCTTTTTAATAAGCCAGAATAAAAAATGTACAGATTGACTTCTAAATAATAATTTTAAAAAAGTATTTGCTTAATTCTGGGTAGGAAATTCATCTTTAACAAGTAAAGAAATATCGCTTTATCACCGAATGGCAAAGATGTGTGGAACAAGTCATTAGCGAGAAAATGACTAAATTTGAAGATCCGCCAAAGGTGTTCTATTTATTTTATCGTCAGTGTTATGGAAAAATAAAAAGCAGATAAAGGAAATCCTTGAATGAACAAAAAAAACAGTGTAAGAAGTGTTGAAAAATTACCCAGATCTATTTTTTTCATTTGAAAAGTAGAATCTTCAGTCCATTGTGTTTTTTTAGGAATTTTATCAGACCCCATAACACAGAGGGTGTAATAGGATACACAAGAGTGTGTATTGTGTTGAGAACAAATTTTCCATGGCAGAGTTCTGATTCTTTGTAAGAGTGCTATGGATTTTGAAATGTATTTTATTGTGTTGTTCTCCAATGTGTTTCTGACACAGCAAAGGCCACAGTGAAAGCAACACATTATTGCACACATGGTTGAAGTTAAAATGCAACAGAAATATTGTCGTAGCTGAGTCCTAAAGACTTATTTGATTGCTGGTTAAGTGGATGTGTATTGTTGGAGTCTGAGCAGGTGTGTTACAAAAGCAGGATTGATTAAGGGTGTCAAAACAGGCTGTAATTGTGGCTTCTCCCAGCATTGGCGAGATCAACACCACCAATAATAAAAGCTTTAGCAAGAAGTCCTGTAAGTCTCTTGTGCTGTTTTGTTTCCTGTGGCTTCAAATCCACAGGGATGGTCTGAGTATAATCTCCCTTATTACACTTGACATTTCATTTTCATAACAGTTTGTACATTATAAGGATTATGTCAAAGTCGTTTGCACACATCTCAATTCTTAAAAGATGAATGTGCAGGCAATGTCTTTCAGATTTCCCTATACATGTTAGATTCTATGTTTTATTTCAAAGACTATTTGCGTTTCTTCAAACAGAAGTCGTTTTGACTTCAGTCTCCTGTCTTCGGATTGCATCTTTGGTGGCGTTTCCATTCGCCGACAAGCTAGAAGTACAGTACTCCTTTTAGAGTACTTTGAACACAAGATTTCAAGAGGATCTGATGCAAGTATTCTTTCAAAAAATGCCAGAATAAGATCCTCATATCAATTAGAGTAGAACAATCAAACGAGCTACCGTACTGTAGATAAGATGAATGGCTTGTCTTTCTTGTTGATCTTAAATTATGTTTTTCAGACAATTATGATGATGTTTTCCAGTTATTGTTAAATACTCATGCACCCTGCTCTGATTTGAAACATGACTCTTAGCTCATAGTCTATTCTTAAAACAATATATTATGCAACTAGTTTCAAACCAGCTGGCACTTTTTAATTATATATTGATTTCTAGATTTTCTTGTAAAGCACATATTTACTTCTTAATTTGCAACATGAATAGGATTTTGGAGCTTGTGAGAGAATTTGGTCATATTTTGTGGTGTAGCAATATGTTTTAGTCAACGTGCTAAAGATGTTACATTTTTCTTTTGTGTTTTTCTTTGAAATATGCTTTTTGTGTCTAATGTTTACGGTATTGAGTTAAAAAAAATTAAAACATTTAGACAATGCAGTCAATTAACTCTAGAACATTAGTCACAATAAATTATTTATATCCTTAGGTATAATATTGTAAATGTATGCTTTTACTTTTTTACTGTGTAGTATTTTATTATATTAAATTCCTAACAGTTGGTTCAGGTGTGGTATGAATATATATTTGCAAGTGAAAGGCCTAGTTCAATTACTAAATTAGTTTTTCTAATTCTAAATTATTTTGTATAAGCAGTAGGGAACACAAGCCTGCAACATAAGCAAAACTGGATGTCAACTGTTAACAGGAAAACATTCTAGCTATTCTCGATGATGTTCCATGAGCTTGAAAAAAGCCTGCCCCTGAAATATGCTATTAAATATTATTTTTAAGGCTGTACTGTACATCTTGATTTTAAAGGGAATGCATGTTCATATACTATATAATACCTGCCCCTTGGCTAATGTAAAAAATAAATCTTCAACAGGATTTTTATTATAGTTACTGTAGTCTGTTATGAAGTTATATCACACCAGTAATTAATTTGTTAGTATAGTAGCCAGGTTTGCTTCATGTGAGCATTTTTAATACAGAGTCATAAATAGAAAACTAATGAAAAACAGCATCAACCCAGGCACTTTCTAAATTGAAAACACAATATGGCAAATGTTCTGTGAATAATGCTTTTTCCATTCGGACATTTAATTTCTCTCAAGGTTCATAAATTGATACCGTTAACTGTGTGCTCCTGCTTTAACGCTGGCTTAGTTTAGAAGGAATTATGGATAGTCCGTCAGGCTTAATAGAACAATTACCCTGGAGCAGAGCAGTCAGAGCAGAAAACGGCTGTAACCACCAGTGCCTTTAAAAAAAAGCTCTGTCCTTTGCTGTACAGCTAATTAACACGCACAAAAGCGTGTCATGTTTAGGCTACGTTTAGACACATGTGATTGTGTTAGTGTTTCTGGTATATAAACAGTAATTCCTTGTGTACAGTACATTCAGTTACATTAAGGTGAGAAATGGCCCATCAATCAGTGCCTACTGACAAACGCATCCACACTACTACACTTCCAGGAAATTTGTTTTAGTGCCGCCTCTAACCCCTGCAACCATTTGTTAAAGCTCATTTGCCTTTAGCCAGTGCAAAAATAAACACTTTTCTGTTTAAGAGCCTCATTCCTTATGCACATCTGCTGTCACAGAAGTCTCCCAACATGCCTCTGTCTTTATAGCTGCGCTTTGTTCCAATATATTTCGACTGCCTATCGGTGGCTCTGAGCAGCCAGAGCATGTGATGGGAAAGCAGAATTTATGATCAGAGAAATGGTGTATGTCCTGTCAAACAAGGTTTTGTATTAAGCTGCAGCAACCAGTATATCCTCAATCTGACGCTCACAGACTGCTGGGAAGGTTACTATCGTGTCAGTTTAGCTGGATTTGGATAAGGTGATTAGCCAAATCGTGTGTGCTTTTTTGGTGTTATTCAAGCATGAGATGGTGGCAGAGGATGGTGGCGTGTTTGAGATTAACAAATATTTTCTTTTCTTCTAAAATCCCCTTGAAGTCAGACGCCTGGCAGGAATGGAACTAAATACAGTAAACCCCAGAAATGCAGACTTCTGTTTCAAAATTAATCAACTGGTTTACTGCCTTCTGTCTCACAGGTGTTCCTACCTGAGCAGGAACAAACACCAAAAGGAGATCAAACAGAATGCAAGGGCAGAAATAAGGAGAGGATTGAGAGTAAGGTCAAAGTAAGATGTTGGCAACTGAATCACTGAGTTGTGCACAGAATGCAGAATAAAACCAGTTAGTCCCAAATAAAGAGAAAAAATGCTAAGGCCTTCGTAAAATGGGATTTGTTTTCTTAATTTTTGCACGGCTGCTTTGCATTAACCTGAATGCTGTATCCTTGTATTAGTACAAAAGCAAACCATTTCAGTTCAAGAATAATGAATAATGAGAGACGGGTTTTAGTTTTAATTTAGGTTTGCTGATATCCACACGAAGGATCTGTTCGATTTTTCGAGTGAAGACATTTGAATATCTTGAAACACCAGTAACTATTGATATCGTTTAAAGCGTGCAAAAAAAATGCTTTCAGTACCTCCTACGTACAAACAATTAAAGGAAGTCCAACCACACATTAATGCATTTCCCAAAGCAGAAGAAACTAGCACTTAATGATTCATGTTTTACAGAAGTTGATAACAAAAGGTGAATTTACTATACCCTTTCTCTTTAAAGGTTAATTTATCTGTACTATTTAGGTGTAGCCTCATAGACTATCCATAACAAGTACTGCAATATAAACCAGAGCACTAGATTACCTTCTGTAAAAAGCATTTCTCAGCCTTTTATTTGCTTTTATCAGATTTTTACAATTAATCCAGAAATCTATGGCATGGCTTTGATGTTCCAGAATAATTAATTGCTTGCATGAAACACTTAATCACTTTCAGATTCAACCTGCTGCCCTTCTGCCAAAAACCTATTATTTTTAGGTCACAGATTTAAGTTCTCATAGAGGCATGACATACAGTATGAGGAGTTCCATAAACCATTATGTATAATGAACAGCCTATCTGTGAATATGTGTGGACCATGTGGAGATGTAACCTTCTTGCTTTGATAATAAAGGACCTGTGGATTTTTAATGCCTTCCACAGGCTTGCCAGAGCTTTATGTGATCCGTCAAGCTGCCCTGCAAATATAAACCATAAACCTCCTGTTACGAATACAGTGTCTTGAAGACGGATGGCTTGGAATTTCTGTGAGGCAGCCAAGCTATACTTTGTTGCAGCATAATAAAAACAGCTGGGGTGTCCAACTGAAGACCATGGAGTGAGGCAGCTTTTTTCTTTTTACTGTATATACCCTTATGTCAAACAGTTACTGTATTTTTCCAGTTTTGAGAAACAGTTCTGGTGAATACTTCGCAAAACTTTTTTAAAACTTTGTTTATTAATATACTACTTCATAAATAAACCTAGTTTTTTTTAAAGTACAATGGTAAGCATTGCTGATTTGCAGCACTGGGGCCCTGGGTTCAATTCCAGACCTGGGGCGCTATCTTCATGGAATTTGTAAGTCATCCCCATTTCCGAGTTGGTTTCTTCCTAAAGGCCAAAGACACACTGATAGGTTGATTGGCTTTTGGGAAAATTGGCCTTGATATCTAAGTGTGTGTGTGCCCGGCGATGGACTGGCCTCCCATCCAGGATGTGTGCTGTCTTGTGCCCATTGCATGCTGGGATAGACTCTGGCTCCCCTGCATGCCTGTATTGGATACAGCAGTTAGAAAATGGATCAATAAGAACATTGCAGCATTTCTATTTTAATTACACTAAGAAAAATGAATGGTCATTCTCAATCAGTTTTGTCTGATGCCTGATCCATTTATTCTCCTGCTGCATACAACTAGAAAAAGTGACTTCAATATAATATCTGCCATAACTGCTAAGGCAAAAGAAATTATATACCCCAGTCCTTAAAATTTCACACACAATTTGTTTTTTCCTTTGCACAAGAGTCACATTTTCTGATCAAACTAATAGCTTGCTTTGTTAACTTATTTTTTTAGATGATTTTGGAATTCTGTTTACCGAATAAAAATGTCTAAAACCTCATTTAGTATTTCCTGCTATGTTTTGTACAAATTCCCTTTTTGCTAACTATTGTACATGTTTTGAAATGTTCATTTTTGCACAGAGCAGACAGACAATGTTCAGTCAGGAATTCAGATTGAAACAACTCAGAACTAAAGACCATAAATCACCACATGTCAGAAGTTACAGCTGTCCAGGTACTTCTGGTGTTAAAATTAACACTGTTCATCCAAACCCATAACAATGCAGGGCTCTTGTATGTGGTGGTGACCAACTATTATAATGATAGATTAATAATTTTAATAATACCAATTAAGGCTATTATTAACGTAATGTTTTGTAATTTCATTTTCAAATGTCATCATTTCTGCATTGTACAGTGGTTACTGTACTGTACTTTTATTTACTACTGGCTTCAGTGATCATTTCATTTTTAGTGTCATGTATACCAACTTACTGTAGGTGGACTTGGGAAATTTAACTTTATTGGGAAACTTAACTTTAAGGAAAATGTGAAATTAAAATTTAAAATTTGAAATGTG